CTATATTATTATACTGGTCCAATCTACATGAGAAACACCTGACTGTAAGCTCGGGCGATCTTTGAATATGCAGTGAAACGCATTCCCTGAGCACGCGTCGTTCGCACTGTGTATCTGACGAGCGGGCTTGCCTTAGCGTTTACCACACCCGCTACACGTGGCGCGCTCGGGTCACAGTGAGACAGAGAGGGTGAGAGATCGAAGCTATGTACACGTCCTGGCGTGCTGGTGTGCAGCCAGATGTGCGCAGTACTGCCACGCCGCGTCCACATCAGAACGCGAATCGACCAAATACCGCGTGTCGATCTCTCTCTCTCTCTCTCCTTCACCTCGTCTATTCTCCTTTCCTCTCTCTCGCTCTCGCGCTATCTCTCTCCTCTCCACAGTCTCTCCTCCTCTCTGTCGCTATCTCTCTCTCTCTCTCCCATCTCTCTCTTCTCCCTCTCTCCCTCTCTCTCTCTCTCTCTCTCTCTCTCTCTCGCTCTCTCTATCTTCTCTCTCCCTCTCTCCTCGTCTTCTCCGTCCGAACACTAGACGTCCTACCAGCCTACGCCTCACATTCCTTTGTGAACATCTCGCGTCCACACGCCGGGAAGAAGATTACTTCATCTACCCCCCACCCCCCATCTACCTTGCCCTCGCGCGAACTTTGATTCTTGATTAATTGTATGTAAACAGTGGATGCCCAGGTGGCCAGGTAAACACGTGTGGCTAGCAGCAGCTATATATATAAGTTATATATATGAATATCTAATATATAATATATTATATATATATATATGTGTGTATACAGCAGGGTGTGTCACACTAATTGATGACACTCCTTATGTCAACATAACGGTACAGTTGCTCCACTTGGCCGTCTTTCATGACAGTAATTGTGCATTGCCTGTTTATTCCGCAAATCATTTCGGAAATTCATTCATCAACTTTAGTTAGTGTTGCGAGATTTGTAACGACGCGTTTCAAGTTAATGATAAGTTAACGTACTTAACGACGAGACTGCCACACATTACCAGAGCCCATCCTTAAAAAATAAGTTTGCTGTCCCTCGACCGACACCTACGAAAATAGCCGCGAGACCGCAAACGCGTTTTTGACATTTTGGATCATATTTTTTTTTTTAAATTTTCATAGTTAAGACCGAACCACAAAACATGTTGCAAACAGGAGGACAGACTAACAATAACTATATGCCTACACAAAAAATGACCTACCTACCTACCCGCAAAAAAATCCATGGCGTCGGGGACAGCAATACAATAATTTTTTAAGGATGGCCCACATATATATGATAGGTAATGTTAAATTAACATATACAAGAAGAGCTAATAAAATCTCTTCTCTTATCAGCTATATATAATAGATCTAGAACTAATACGCCGCACGGCCCATGGCAGCCGACAATATACGTGTGTGTTACCCTCACCTGTGTGGCGGCGGCCTGCGTGCTGTCGGCAGCGCCCCCTAGCAGTGGCGACGCGGCCGACGGCAACTCTCCGGCCCGGCACGACGTAGTCCTGCTTGCGCAGCGGCGGCGCGACGACGTACCCCTGCCTCACAGCGCCCTCTAGCGACAGCCGCTCCCCGGTCACCGGATGCACGAACTTGTCATCGTCGGCGTCGACGAAACCCAAGCGGAGCGCCGTCGGCGAGCGCCGTGGCGCCTCGCCGTGCGAGATCGCGTACGCGACCGCCGCGTCACTCGACGACCCGCTACTGTCCCCGCCCAGCGCCCGGAGGGAAAGCTGCCGCCCGGAGACGGGTCCGCCGAAATCGTCCGGCGGACGTAGAGCGGGTCGGCGACGGCCGTGGCAGCGGGATGTTCGGGCGGCGGGAGCACGTCTCTCCGCTCGATTTCGCCTCCGCAGCGCAGGTTCTCCCGTCCTGCCCGGCGGCAACACGCGTGTCCCGCCACGGCGTCGAGAATTGCCCGCGTCGATGCCTCTCCTGCTTGCCGCACGTGGCGCCCTCCGCGGCGGGGTCGCGCACGTGAGCACGCGGCAGATCGAGCAGCCCCGCGTCGCAGCGCCGGCGTCTGCGCGCGCGATGTTACGCGCGATCGCGTCGTCGAGGGTGACGTCGTCTCCGCTCTCCGGATCGCGCATTCTCCCCACGTTGGAATCCCACAGTCCGAGCTCGACGAGCTCCGAGAGCGGGGCGGGGGTTGCCGCGACGACGACGGCGCCGGTGGATGCTGCGTCTGCGAGCGACATGTCGCCGTGGGTACCCGTCGTCACGGCGCCCGTGCGCACGTCGACGGCTCCCCCGGCGATCGCGTCGCGAAGCGTCGCCACGGCGCCGGTCGCAGACTCGCGCAGCAGCGTTCTCTTGTCGTCGACGACCCCACGAGCGACCCCCTCGCCGAGGTTGACCTCCTCGCCGCGCCGCGGGTCTGTGCAGCGCCCCCTGGCGGCATCGTAGATGCCTTTCTCGATCGCTTCGTTGAGCGGCACCGGCAGCGCGGCGCCGAAGACTCGTCCTTCCTTCACTGCCTGCTCGAAGGGAATCTTCCTGTTGGACGCGGAATCCCGGACCGATCCCGTCTTGGGGTCGAGGGTGCCGTCGGCGACGGCGGTCTGGAGCGGCCGGATCTCTCCCGTCTCCCGGTCCCGCACGTAGACGTCGTTGGGGTTGCATCCGGCGCTCGCGAGGGAGTCCGTGATCGACGCTGGAACGCGCGTGTTGACGTCGACGAATCGCCGCCGCGGCGCTTCGTACGCTCCCTTCGCTAGCGCCTCCTGGAACGTCGCGAACGGCTCTCGACGTAGTTCAGCGAGGGTCGACGCCGCGCCCGTGGCCGGATCGAGGATCGCTCCCGTGTCGAGGTCGATGAGCCCGCGCCGCGCCGCTTCCTCCAAGGTCATGACCTCTCCGGTCGCGGGATGCGTGAACACGACGGAGCGTGGGTCGAGCGTTCCCGCAGCGATCGCCTCGCGTAGTGCCATCCTGCGTCCGCTCGCCGGGTCCACGTACTCGCCCGTGCGTGGGTCGACGCGGCCGCTGGCGACGAGGTCGTCCAAGGTCGCAATCCCGACCCCGCGCGCGAGCGGCGATTTCTTCTTCGTCTTCGGGTCGATGAACATGCCGGTGTCGAGATTGATCAACCCTCGCTTCGCGGCGTCCGCCAACGTCATCGTCTCTCCCGTCGACGGATGAACGCAGATGACGTTTTCCGGATCGATGATCCCGGCGTCGATGGCTTCCCGCAGCGACATCCTCTTCCCCGTTGCCGGGTCGACGACCTCTCCCGTCGCCGCGTCGACGATGCCCTCCCGCATCATGTCGGCGAGCGTCGTCACGGCGACGGCGGAGGAGAGCGGTGCACGCTCGCCCGTCTTCTCGTCGACGACCGCGCCCGTTTCCATGTCGACGCGTCCCGAGCGCGCCGCCTCCGCGAGGCTCGTCGTCGCGCCCGTCGCCGCGGCGACCGCGATACACGATGCTTCACAGGAAAGAGAATGTCATTGCAAGACGCCATAAGATGCTGGTCTGTGTAGACGGAGACAAGGTTTTTTGTCACCCAGTAACGGGAGAGACAATGTCGTTAGCAGAAGCAGTAAGAAGGGACTGATCGACTTGACACAGGTATGGTAATTGATCCAAAAATCAAAAAGCACAAGCGTCGTTGGCAGATATCGTAGATATAACAACAGTGAAGACCTCATGAGAGAGGAAGAATTGATCCCAAGACAGGAGAATACATCGATGCTTCGAACAGGAAGAGAATGTCATTGCAGACGCCATTAGATGCTGGATCTGTAGACGGAG